TGTGTGTGTGTGTGTGTGTGTGTGTGTGTGCGCGCGCGCTGCTGGGGATTGAACCAAGGGCCTATGTATGCGAGGCAAGCACTCTACCAACAGAGCTATATCCCCAGCCCATAGATTTTTATTAATTCAAACAAACATAGTGTTCTGTGTAAAATGAGATCAATGATACTTGCTCTGTCTTCCTCAAAATCCAGATGATGGGTTGGAAACTATTTTGAAAAAGACCAAAGTCCTTCACAAATGTAAGGCAGTAAGATTCCTTCTGTTTCTAAATCATCAGCAAACTTATCACCAGCAAACGTTATCTCAAGCCGTCTCTTGATTATTTGGGTCTGATGTAATTAAAAACCATATCTGAAAGTCTCTTGATTATTTGGCTGTGGATGTAATTAAAAACCAGTTTGTCAAGGCGTGTTCTGTGATCTCCTCTCTTCATATGCAATTACCAGATTAGTCCTTGTTTCCTTCCCTCCCTGTAATATATTGAGAAAACCTTAACCTGCAATCTGAACCCCTGGCCTTGGCCGCTCCAATCCCCCCGGGGTCATGTTTCCATCAGTTTCCCATCATCCTTCTCCACTGAACATAAAAGCTTCCAGACTGCAACTGTTCCCAAAGACACCTCGTTTTCTAAGCCTCTTCTTCTTAACTCTAACCTCTAAAAAGACATTGTTATTATTATTTTTGGTGGGATACCTTGAGGCTGTTTAAAAATATTGTCAACCCATCACTTGTGATTCCTTCTGCCTACAGGGCTTCTCCACACTTTTGCATGGGTCACTCACTCACCACTTTGAGTCTTAATTCAAATGTCATTCTTTCAGTGAGGTCTTTCTTGAATACTTTAAAATGTCACCTCTTCCCTAATCCTCCTGATTTCTGCTTTATTTTCATCTTTCTAACATACTAAGTAGATTTCTGGGGGTTGTGGTTTGTTTTTCAGGGCTCTGAACACAGTAATAATTACTTATTGATCAATAAATATTAACTATGCAATAATATTTGTTATTATTAATTAAGGATTATTGATGCAATTTATTATTAGACTCAAAAGGCTTTTTCTTCTGTTGTTTATTTTTTAAAGCAAATCATACTCTGTGTTTTACTTTTCACTTTTATTTTATTTTTGATCTTTTCTGTGGGCATCTCTCTGTTTTGTTCACTATTGGATCCTCAACAGTTAGAAAAGTGTCTGGCAGCCAGGCACAGTGGCATACACCTGGAATGGAGGCTGAGACTGAGTCTGGAGGCTGAGGCAGGAGGCTAAGGCAGAGGATCATGGTTTCAAACGTCAGCCTCAGTGACTTAGCAAGGCTTTAAACAACTTAGCAAGACGCTGTCTCTAAATAACCCGTAAAAGGGTTAGGGATGTGGCTCAGTGGTTAAGTGCTGGTGGGTTCAATCCCTGGTGCTGGAAGAAAAAAAAAAAAAGGGCCTGGCATGTGGTAGCAGCTCAGTCAACACTAGTTGAATGAATAAAAGAGTGTGGCTTAGATTTGGTCTGCTCACCCTCTGCCTCTTGTGCACTACTGGCTCTGTCCTATGGGGCAACCATACTGTTTTACCAGGTCTAATGTGGTACAGGGGTAAGAATGTAGTCCTAGGAGTTAGGTCAAGATTTACTATTTATTAGCTGTGTGATCCTGGGCAACTCACTGAGCCTCTCTGAGGAAAATGGAGAGACAATAGAATCTACTCTGCAAAGTGGATGGGAATTATACATGTGAGGTATTTGGCATCGGGTCATGCATGCTAAGTGGCAGCTGATAATTTGGTGAATCACTGTGCCAATATCTTGTATTTGGCGTATGAAGTTCCAGCTATGTCCAAAGGAAGATCAGAATACATTCTTTATTCTCTGTTACTCTCTCAAGATTGAGGCACCCAACCCCACCCAGCAGTTCACCTTGATGGCACAGCCAGCCACTCATCTTACCTTGGTGGCGATGGCAGATACTGCAGCTGTTCTCTTTGCGGTAATGACATTTCCATCCATGACCTTGGAGGAAGTGGAGACAGTGAACAAGGGGTTCCCCTCTCTAGTGCTCAAACTGAGAGAAGCAGCTTTGAAAGAGAAGCCCTAAGAAGTATGAAGGTATCCTATAGAGAACGGGGGCTTATGTCAGAGTTGGATAGAATCCTTCCACTTATGAGACATGTAACTGAACATTTTAATCCCTAAGCATTGGTTTCATCACCTGTAAAAACAAAGATAATACAAGCCTCTCAGAGGGGTACTGAGAGGATTAAAGGCATTAGTGTATAGGGAAACTTCTAGCACGTGGTGAGTTCTTAACAACTAACTATCTTGTTTCCTTGTCCTGGGATTTTCAAACACCAAACTGAGGAGGAACTTGTGGGATAAGGTTGTCATTTCAGGGCTGGGGCTATAGCTCAGTGGCAGAACGCCTGCCTAGCACATGTGAGGCACTGAGTTCAATTCCTAGCACCACATTAAAAAAAATAAATAAAAATCAAGGCATGATGTGAATCTACAACTACAAAAAAAATTACAAAAAAAAAAAGATGGTCATTTCACATCTGTCAGGGGCCAAGAATTCCATATCAGTGGTGCTCACTCCAGCTGTTTATATGGGGGAGCTTGGTAAAGATACTATTCCCAGATACCTTCTTTAAATTAATTGAATCTGAATCAGAGGTAGAGCATATGCTCAGCATTTAGGCCCTGTGTTCACTTCCTGACACAGAAAAAAAAAATATCCCCAGCCCTAAATCTTAAATCTCTAGGTGTAAGACCCAGACATCCTCATTTTCAAAAGCTCCCCCAGTGATTCTCATGCACAGTGAGGACTTCTGTTATGCCTGCTCAATAACTGTCTTTTGCACTGACCTCCATTTATAAGTTATTCATCTTAGCTGACCTTCAAAAGGTAGGCATCATTATTCTCATTTTACAGAGGAGGACAGAATCACATAGTACTGAGCAGAAGCAGCAAGGATATAAGGTTCTGTCAAAGGCCCAGGAATCAGGCTCCAGGGGAACCACTGTTGCAGGTAGATAGTATGGATGTTATTACCATTGGATGAATTTAGGCTGGGAAGAGCTAGATATTCCACACAGAGGAGTGATGAACCATCAAGAGTCCTTGGGGAATCAGAAATTCAGGAAAGAGAGTTTAAAAGCCAGACTGAAGGACACTTAAGAGCATAAGCTCCATAGTCAGTCAGATAGACTTAGGAGTGATTTTTGGGTCTTTCACTAACCAGCTATGTGACATGCAAAGTTGCTCTAGTAACCTGAGCCTCAGGGACATCATCAGAAATTGGGTGGAAGATGAAGCAGTAAAAACTCCCAAGGAGGAATTGTTAGAATTAAATGTGACTAGAATCTCCTGCCTGGCAGATAACTGCTCAATTAAGTGGCAGTTAAAAAGGCCGTAGAGCACATCGTGGGCTTAGACTGAAGTCCTGCCATGCCACTTACTAGCTACATAGATTTGGGTAAGTTGGTCTCAGTTGCTGTATGACTTGATTTTCTCACCAACGAAGTGGGGGTAATATTTCCTGCCTCATAGGTGGTTTTCAAAATTAAGAGGGCTAATACATGTGAAGTGTTTAGAACAGGACACGACACATTAAAAACTGCTCAATAAATGTGAGGTACTGCTACTTTTTGATTCTATAGTTACATATTAAAACAGGTCACTGTGTACTCCTCAGAAGAGACCTCCACAGATTAGAGAACACCCTCCCCCATGTTGATAGGGATTCAGTAAATACATATTCTCTCAGCTCAAGCTGTGAGGTATCTGAGCAGATAAGACTATGTAGAAGAATGAGGACATTATTAGTTCCATGCTGTCACACACTGGAAGCAGCAGTGGGCTGGGTTACACACCCTCAGACAGTCATACAAACAGACACACAGTTACAGGTAACCCTCTCTGTGGCTAGTACCCATTCATTGGTAGAGGGGACTTGGGGTCACAAGCAGAATGCCTCCCACTCATGCAGAACTAACTTTTGAGTCTAGCCCCGGCTCCACCTCCAGGATAAAGAGTTGCTCACCGCCAGCAGGGTGCCATTGCTAGGCTCCAAGAGTAGCACAATTGCCTGGTGCGAGGGAACGGTGGATGTGGAGCTGTGGCCCTCATAGAAGGTGACCAACTTGGTGGTCAGGGCATCCTCTGCTGCACTGTAGACGGGCATGACCCCCAGGAAGCTACACGGAGAGAGGGAACAGCTTCAAACCCTTCCCAATAACACTGGGGTCCCCCATAAAGTCCCCATCTGCCTTCTTTTCTGTTTCTTCCCCACAGCTCCACTCCCGACCCATATTACCTCTGCCCTTCCCTGCCTCCCTCTGCCCTTCTCTCATGCACTAAGCCACAAAGCTTAGTGTGTTCAGAAAACAACCCCAGGTCCGCCACTTATTAGCTCTGTGTACGCCTGGGTAAATCATTTAACCTCTCTTGGGTCTCTTTTCCCCGTCAATACCTCCTGATGTGGAGTCTGTTTGATTAAACCTGGTAACACCTGTAAAGCGCCCACTTAACAGAGGTTACCGAGGAAGTGGCAGCTGTCATTAGCAAGGATCAAGCAAGTCCTCTTTTCCCTTCTCCCGCAGCATCCCTTCCCTGCCTCCGGGTCCTTCTCCTCAGTGCCTCCGGACCTTTGCCCCGGTCTTTCTCACTCACCCCCTGTGCTTGGCCACCGGCACCACGGTGCGCACGGGCTGCACGACTCCTCCGTCGGGGCCGCTGGAGAAGTTGGCCAGAGCCGCCTCCAGAGGAGGAATGAGGAGGCTGGAGCTTCGGAGGTGGTCCTGCACTTCGGCGGCGCTCAGGAACGCGGGCGACCGGCTCATCTCGCCGCCTGCCTTCTAACCTCAGCCCGGCACTGACTGACACCCACGTTCCCCCCGGCGGCGCGCTATAAGAGCGCGCCCGCTGGGCTGCGGTGCCGCCTACTGGGCAGCGGCCAGTCCCCGGGGGCGGGGCAACATCGCCCCGCCCAGGCTTGTCTCCGCCCCCCGACTCCAAGAGCTAGTGGGGTGGGTGCTCCCCAGGGGTGGGATCCGCGTCAGGCCAGGAGTTAGAATTCTTGAGTCTACTTTCTTAATTCCTGGGATTAGCTCTAACTACATTCCTGGCAAGACGCGTTAGTGAGGGCTTTGGCACTCCATCTCCGCTCCTCCCCACCAACTCCGCTCTTGGCTACTGCCTTGGCAAAGGAGATGGGGAGATGGGGCACAGAATCCTGTGGCGAGCATCTCTTATGTCTTAAGCTATTACCTGCTGCTAGATCTTGAATGAAAGGAGACAGGATTATTAAATACTTTGCTTTCAATTCTGTCCCCATCTGGAGGCTCCAATCCCAATCTTCCTCCCACCCACACTTCCCAGATGCCTGGCTATTAATGGCTTTAAGTGCAAAGCTGTCTCTCAGGCTAACTAATCAAATTAACCTTCACCTTCGAGGAGAGAGTTCTCAAGGCAAGGTGTAATGACCTCAGTCGCACAAAGAGGCAAAATGCAGAGGTTTTTGTTTTGTTTTGTTTTCCCCAAGGAGTTCACATTGCACTTGAAGAAAGAGGACAGAAAGCACCCAGGAGGGAAATCAATGATGTACAGTAGTAACCCCTGGCTACTAAACCAGTCATATGGAAAGAACTTTGTGTAATTCAAAGAAAAGAGATTATTTTGACTTGGAGTGGTTAGATAGGAGTGTCATGAAAAAGCAGGAGAAACCAAGGCTTGGAATGATAATAATGATGACAATGATTATGATCACGATTATTATTGATATTATTGATATGTGCTAGTACAGCACCATGCATTTTACTGCATTATTTCACTTAATTATGCAATAATCTCTGAGGTATGTAGGTGGTGTTATGAGCCTTACTGTCCATTTTAGGCTCTGAGAAGGGAAGGATGATTCCAAGGTCACCCAGCAAGTTAACAGAAGAGTTGGGCTTTGCCTTTGGAATCAGATTCCAGATTCATACTCATGATCATTAAGCTATTCTGGCAGAGAGGGAGAAAGAGGACATTTCAGGTCAGGTGAAGCCCGGGTGTGCAAGGAATGTTGTCCAGTCCATGGGAACAGTGAGTTTGCCAGATGAGTTGGGCTAGAACTAGGGTCTAATGTCAGGAGCATCAGGAGCTAAAACTGGGATTGCTTCTTGAACACCATTGGCTAAGAGGGTATGATTCTTTGAAAAGAAATTACATACTCAGAAAGATTAAGTACTTAGAATACAAATATTTAGGATAACACAGATGAGCAAGAGTGGCATCTGGAATAAATACAATTTCTTGGTATTTTGGCTGGGCATTTCTTAGGAAATTGTCACATCATAATAGAGTGAGTGAGTAAAGAGTGAAAATATGTACCAATGAAGTGACAAATCATATATAATGCATTTATCACAGTGTTTGGTACAGAGTAGCCATGTGATAACCAAGTTTTTAAAGTAGTATTACCAGGGAAAGCGGGAGGAGAAAGGAACATCCACATGCAAGCACAGAGAATTGGGAAAAGCTGGTTTTCACACAAGGAGGTTGAGCACCTCCACAGCTCTTGGGTTTACAGAATATTATGGCCCCTTATGTGTATTGTTATAATCATTATTATATAACATTTACTGGATTTTTTAAAATCACAGATTATAAAGAAAATACTGTTTGTTCTTTCATTCTTGAGGAGAAAGCAAAATAAAAAGAAACCAAATACTCATCAACCAAAAGAGAGGTATGAAATAGGAAAACCATCTATTTATTTTCTTCCATTGTGAATTAAGAAATTTAACCCGGGTGAAAGAGAAAGCTTAAGTATTTGCTTCTACTACTCTGTATATCGTCTTCCTTATGAAGCATTAGATGACATCACCCAGGTCCTCAGTTAAGCATAAGTAGGAAACTTTGCCTTAAATCAGTTCAAATAGGACTAGATACATAGAAAACTAATTCTCCCGAAGTTTCAGAGCCTTTTAAAAATGCAAGTTATGCAATATCTCTGTTGTGGGTCAGGATGTGTAAAATGTAGGCAAGTAGAAGAGAATTCTTGGCCACAAATACCATGAGTCCAACTGTCAGTTTCCATGAAAGCTCTTAATATTTAATGATATCTCTTTTATTATTTACTTAATATGTTTTGTTAAAAATTATACTACCCTCTTTAGCTTTGGTTGAAGCAAAGTAAACATAGATTAATGACCTACTTCAATCATTTCCAATTTGTATCAAAATAAATGCATAGCTACCAAACTCAAAAACAATCCTCCCCACCCCCACCAAGAAAAAAAAGGGGGGTCTGTGACTTACCTCAAATCATCTTCCTTGGAGGGTTTTGGGTAACCTTACGCAGGTCCTCCTGATGTTTTAGCTGCCAACTTGATGCTTTGGTTTTAGCTAAAGAGCTTGTAACCACTGTTGGAAAGAAGACATAATAAAATGGGAAAGCAGCCTTCTTCCTTCTTCCCAGCTTGGTGGTAGCAGGATTGGTTCTAATGAGACTGGTGGTCCAGAATTCCAGGTGACCTGCACCAAGGCCAACTGTATACTGTGTACTGCAATACTGCTATATTCTAGAATAAAAGCTGGTGATGCAATGGAAACTGACAGAGGGACCCATGAATGTACTGCCCAGGGGAGAAAGAGGTTACTGAAGTTCAGTCATCTCATGACAGTAGGGGCTGTGGAGTTAGCATATTTTGGGGTGACATAGAAATACTTTTCTATGACTAGTTTACAGAGCGCTTTCATTAGGGATGGTTGTTAAAATATGGTTGTTTTCATTAGGGATGGATGTCATATATTCATTTAAGAAATGATTATATCATTTCCCTACTTTAACTCATTGATGTGATGATACATTATGAGCACATCCTATTATCCTAACTAGTTTTTTTTTTGGGGGGGGTTATTGGAGTTCTAATGCTTTTTAGCTGAAATTCTCACCAAGTAGCTGGTAGTTGGTTAGGAGCTTCATATTTAGTGATTCTCAAGTAAGGGCTCTGGTGTTAGCCAGTTTAGATTTGAGTCCAGGCTTGTACATACGAGATAATCTGTAGACAAGAGAGGTAACCACTCCTCTGATCCTGATTACTCAACTGTAAAATTAGATAATACCAGTGATATTAGAATCAACCTTCCAGAGTTGTGGTGAGACAAAAGAGATCTTTTGTCAAGTGTTTAGCAGGCAAGTATTTATTTAATAGGTTTTATTCATTAGCATATGAATAATTATTTTAAATATTATTGATGTTTTAATTATTATTATTAAAATAATGAAACTACTAATTTAATAATGACTGAACAGAAAGAATGTCAATAAACTCACTAGTAATGTGGGGGACACTATCCAGGAAACTAGGATCATTCTTCTCCCCGCACTCTCCTGCAACCTTGTTATGGGATAAGTCTGAGGGGTTTGTAGGATTCCGTGCCTGAGACTCTGGAAATTCCCTGCTTAAACCCCATTGGATTCTGGGGGAGAAGGTGGCCCCTTGCACTTCCCCAGATTTCTGCCCACCACCACACTGAAGGGGAGGGTAGCACAGAGCTCTTCCTAGGGTGAACCAGGTATAGTGACTGCTAGTGGTACTCACCTGCAGTACAAAATTTATGGGACATTTCAGGACTCAAATAGTCAATACTCCAACATGAAAACATTTTAACGCCATGTTTAAAAAATAAACATTATTGCAAGAAACCACGATGAACACAATATCAACATTTTTAAGTAAAGACAGGATTACGGAGTTTCTCGGATATCTCCTTGTGTACTTTTTTAACTTTAAAATATCTTATTAAAGTATCTCCGTAGCTGGTTGGCTCCCCTTTAGGTGTTACGACCAAGGCAAACGTCTCACTCCCTTTACTCCAGTCTCTGTCTTTCTAGAGGGAGCGCACGGCGAGGTGACCTAGGAACAGCAAGCGGTGAAATTATCGTGAAAGCCTGACAACGGTGGGCTAGGACTCCAGGGGGGCATTTGCAGGGAAGATAGATGGAGCAGCCGCGAGCCCTGCTGGCGGGCCTCCGAGTCTCCCCAGTCTCCCCACCCCCGCTCGCGTCCGCGCCTTTGATTGGTGCTCGAGCTTAGACCACGCCCCCGATCGCGAGCCGCTGCGCTGCAAGCGGTTGGGGAGCGCGTTGAGGAAGCGCCACCCGGGGTCGACGCGCGCCACTCAGCGGTGGAGGCGGAGACGGTTGCGAGGCCTGATTGGTGAGTGTGCGGGTCTGGGACCTTTCCTGCTCCTGCCCGAGTGAGTCACCCTGCTCTGCCACTACTCCAAAGAACTGGACTCGGCAGGGACGGAAGGTGCCCCTTGAACGCAGACAGACAGACATACAGACAGACACCCAACAGGGACTTAGATACTTAGGGTTGAATTTAAACTTTTTTTTTTTTTTTTGGTCAGCCTAAATTCGAGAGAGAGAGACTCCTTAAGGACTACTGGGTTTATTCGGGAGTAGCAGGGGAGTCCACACTGGATTGTGCGTGCAGCAGAGGACACAGGCATCAACGAGGAGGTTGAGGCAAAGGGAAGCTTTTCAAGGCAAAAGTGAAAAGTGTGCCGTTATTTGTTGTGAAATAGAGAAGGTTGGTTACAGGGCTTTAGCGCAGGAGCTAACTTTAGTTCCTTAGTGAATACAATGCCCAACAAGCTGTCCCTGTGACCTATGGAACAAGGTGCAGTGTGGGACGTCCGTGGCAAAACGTTTTTGTTACAGGCATATGTGCTTAAGAGCCCTTAAGGGAGCTTGGTGTTAATAGTGCTTATCCCAGACCACGTGTGCATGATGCGCTTCTCTTCTCAGTCTCCTGACTTGCTATTTTGTTTGGGTTTGATACAAGTGACTCCATGTTGATATATGGACAACTTTTCTCAGGTTGTAGTTTAGTGGTTAGATGGATT